GAAAAGAAGTTCATTTGTATCCATTTTCAGATTCTTCCTAGAAGTGATATCATATGATACTTAGTCTTTCCTTGTCTTTCTTCTTCACTTAGCCTGATCATCTCTGCTTTGCTCTCTGTGGCTGCCAATGGCAATATTACATCCTTCTTGATGGCTGAGTAATATTTCATCATGCATATGTACCCCATATTCTTTACCCATTCATCTGTCCATCTACATTTAGATTGCTTTTGTGTCTTGGCTATTGTATCTAGTGTGGCTGTGATTGGAGGGGTGCAAGTGTCTTTTAAAATGTTGGCATTCTTCGGATCTACACCCAGGAATGAGATTGCAGGGTTTCATGGTTCTTGTGCTTTTGGACTGTGGTGTTGGGGAAGAATCTTGAGAGTCTCTTGGACTGCAAAGAAATCAAACCAATCAATCCTAAAGGAAATCAACTCTGAATATTCATCAGGACTGAAGCTGAAGCTGAAACTCCAATACTTTGACCACCTGATGTGAAGAACTGACTCATTGGAAAAGACCCTGATGCTGGGAAAGATTGATGGCAAGAGGAGAAGGGGATGACAGAGGATGAGATGGTTGGATGGAATCATCAACTCAATGGACATGAGTTTGTACAAACTCTGGGAGATGGTGAAGATCAGCAAAGCCTGGTGTGCTGCAGTCCATGGGGTGGCAGAGAGTACTGAACAACAACATGGTACTTATATGTTTAGTTCTTTAAGGAAACTTCATGCAATTCCCAACAACAATGTAGAAGAGTTCCCTTCTCTGCACACCTGTTCCAGCATTTATCATTGGAGATTTTTCAAATGGCCATACTGACTGGTGTGAGACAATATTTCATTGCATTTTTTATTTGTCTTTCTGTAATAATTAGTGATGCCGAGCATCTTTTCATATGTTTATTGGCCTTTTTTTGTTGTTGTATGTGCTCAGTCATGTCCAACTCTTTGCGACCCCATGGACTTTAACCTACAGTTTCCTCTGTCCTTGGAATTTTCCAGGCAAGAATACTGCAGTGGCTTGCCATTCCCTACTCCAGGAGATCTTCCCAACCCAGGGATTGAACCTGTGTCCCTTGCGTCTCCTGCATTGCCAGGCAGATTCTTTACCAACTAAGCCACCTGGGAATTAACCTTAATGGCCATGTGTATGCCTTATTTAGAAAAATGTCCATCTAGGTCTTTGGTTCATTATTTTAATTGAGTTGTTTGTATTGCTTTTATGATTTTGATGTTGAGTTGTTCGAGCTCTTTGTATGTTTGGAGATGAAATCTTGATCTCCAAATGAAGATCCTTGTATTGAAGAGGAAAACTTAAAACTTACAGCTAGAAATCACTTCCTATTCACTCTGCTTCTGTGAGATACGCTTCTTGTGCCAAAAAAGGAACAAGCTGACTCAGCGATCAATTAGGACCATAGATTGTTCTGAGAAGTATGGGATGTTCTGTTTCCGCTTCTATGAGTTTCTGTTTAGAAATTCCCTGCACGTAAGCCATAGCAGCTCCCGAGCTCTGTGACTGCTCGTAGCCCATAGTAACCAGGTAAACGGTCAATCCGTGTGGAGAGTAACTGTGCGCACTGAAGCTCACCCGGAGCTTGGGCCCCTGAACTTCAGAGCGCTAGCTCACCTGGGACGACCAGCTCACTAACCTGAGTCTTCCAACCCTCCGAGTGTGGCGCTTGGTTTCTCGAAGTTTCGACTTCTGCAAAAGTATCTTCCTTTGCAAATAATTCATCCCATTCTGGAGGTTGCCTTTTTCTTTTGTTTAGGGTTTCCTTTGCTGTGCAAATGCTGTTAAGGTTAATTAGGTCTAATTTCTTTTTTTTTTTCATTACTGTAAATGGTGGGTTTAAAACAGCTTGCTACGATTTATGTCAAAGCATGGTCTGCCTCAGGAATTTTATAGTACTGTCCTTTAGTTCACGTGTTTAAGCTGGAGTTTATTTTTGTGTATGGTATTAGGGATTATCCTAATTTCATAGTCATTTTCATCATTTAAGAAAGTTGCACACTGTCCTTGTCAGGGAAATTAAATAAATAGTCCTGCTTAGGCTTCAGAGCCAAAGCAGAGCAGCTCTCTGACGTTGCTTCTAACTGTCTGGACGCTGCCCTGACTGTGTGCCCTGAATGCCTGCTGTGACTGCAAGACTTGCAGCACCACAGACCAGTTCAGTTCAGTCGCTCTGTCCTGTCCGACTCTTTGCAGCCCCAAAGGCTGCAGCACACCAGGCCTCCCTGTCCATCACCAACTCCCGGGGCTTACTCAAACTCATATCATTGAGTCGGCGATGTCATCCAGCCATCTCATCCTCTGTCATCCCCTTCTCCTCCTGCCTTCAATCAGGATCTTTTCCGATGAGTCAGTTCTTCGCATCAGGGAGCTAAAGTGTTGAAGTTTCAGCTTCAGCATCAGTCCTTCCAATGAACACACAGGACTGATCTCCTTTAGGTTTGACCGGTTTCATCTTGCAGTCCAAGGGACTCTCAAGAGTCTTCTAAAACACCACACTTCAATAGCATCAAGTCTTTAGCACTCAGCTTTATTTATAGTCCAACTCTCACATCCATACATGACTAGTGGAAAAACCATAGCTTTGACTAGACGAACCTTTGTCAGCAAAGTAATGTCTCTGCCTTTTAATATTCTGTCTAGATTGGTCATAGCTTTTCTTCCAGGGAGCAAGCATCTTTTAAAATCAATAACATAGGGGGCAAATCTTGAGATTGTTGAGCCCCTGGAGGGGGCTGGCTGACTAAGCCCCAGGCTTAACAACATTCCAAGTTTTACCAGACAAAGCAAGCAGCATTAACATGAAACCAGAGCTGAAATTTGCTCACAGATTGATGAAGATATCCCAGTTTGTATCCTAGGATTAAAAGCAGGAACCCTGAACTGTGGTCTTTGAACTCTCACCCAGAGAGCGGACCTGCTGCCTGAGACCTTTTCCCAGCTGGGACTCCAGGTATCCTGTGACATGGGATTTCCTTGCACTGTTTGAGTCTGGATGTGGGTCAGAACCCAATTTAGTGAGGTATCCTCTGCTGTTTTTATTTCTCTTTTCTTTTAATGTTGGTATATTGAAAGTCAGCTAGACAATTCTCTAATAAATATTGGTATTATTTATTTGTATAGAACAGGTGACTTATTTTGTTAACAAATCCTTTGAACCTGAAACAAAAGTGAAAACTTTCAGCAGAACAATAGCCCTTCAGTGCCCCACCCCCACCCCCACCCCCATGGGGAGGTTGTTCGCATTTTTGATAGAGCCGCATGACCTGTCTGTGTGTACTGCAGACCAATCCACTGTGGGTATCTCTGTCTGCCAATATTTTTCCTATTCTGACACTTGTCTTTGTCTTTCCTTTAGGGTTTCCTTTGCTGTGAAAATGCTGTTGAGATTAATTATGTCCTGTTTTCTCATTTCTGGTTTATTTTCCATTATTCTAAGAAGTGCCTGTAAGAAGTACTTGATGCAATTGATGGAAAAGTGAGTCCTTCTAAAATATTCCTCCATAATTTCCTAGGATCTGTGCTTATACTTGGAACCTTATATTACTTGGAGTTTCTCAAAAATCACTGCAGATGGTGATTGCAGCCATGACATTAAAAGATGCTTACTCCTTGGAAGGAAAGTTATGACCAACCTAGACAGCATATTAAAAAGCAGAGCCATTACTTTGCCAACAAAGGTCTGTCTAGTCAAGGCTATGGTTTTCCAGTGGTCATGTATGGATGTGAGAGTTGGACTGTGAAGAAAGCTGAGCACCGAAGAATTGATGCTTTTGAACTGTGGTGTTGGAGAAGACTCCTGAGAGTCCCTTGGACAGCAAGGAGATCCTACCAGTCCATCCTAAAGGAGATCAGTCCTGGGTGTTCATTGGAAGGACTGATGATGAAGCTGAAACTCCAATACTTTGGCCACCTCATGCGAAGAGGTGACTCACTGGAAAAGACCCTGATGCTGGGAGGGATTGGGGGCAGGAGGAGAAGGGGATGACAGAGGATGAGATGGCTGGATGGCATCACCAACTCAATGGCCATGAGTTAGAGTAAACTCCAGGAGTTGGTGATGGACAGGGAGGCCTGGCGTGCTGCGATTCATGGGGTCACAAAGAGTCGGACACGACTGAGTGACTGAACTGAACTGAACAGATTAGCAAGTCTCGCATCTCATCCTGTTCTTCATGGTGGAGGAACCTCCACACTGTCGTCCGTCATGGCTCTTACCAAGTTCCATCCTCAACCTCAGTGGAGGCTTGTTCCCTTTTGTCCACACCTTCTCCACAACTTACTGGCTGTGCAGTTTTTGACAATGGCCATTCTGACTGGTGTGAGGTGATATCCTGTGGTACTTTGGATTTCCATTTCTTGAACACTTAGTGAGGTTGACAACTTTTCATGGGACTTGTTTAGAGCAGTGTGATTGAAACTTACCTGTTGAAACTGGCCTCTTGAAGGTCTGCGCATGTTGACTTCCTTTCCATTGGCCAGCCCTAGGACAGGCTGTGAGGGGAGGTGCTTCTTACTGGCTGCCCTGTGGGCCTTGCGGATGTGGGGTGCCCACTGCACACCTTTGCCAGCAGTATTAGGGCAGGAAACCAGAAGGTGACCGCGTGTCTTCAGGCCTCATGCTGATTTTTTTTCTGCTGCAATCTCATCGCTGTCGTGTTTTGGAGCAGAGTTCATTCCTGTTGTCTTATGTGTTTCCAGTGTACAAGAACTTGACTCAGTTCCACTTAGACATTCTTCTGTTCTCTTTTGGGTTCTCTTCTCCTATGAGGGGATCACAGTGTGTTCTCCAGCCTTTCCTGTGGTATTCAGTAGGTCCTTTTGGCTCCTCCATTTGATATCTATTAAAGTGAAGAGGTTCATTCCAACCTCTTAATTGCTTCCTCTGCCCCAACATTTTCTTTCTGAGAGTCATAAGTTGGTTTCATGAGTTTGTGAGACTGTTCCTCCTGTGTAAATGAGTTCGTTTGTATGAACTTCTAGGTTCCACCAGCCATGGTTATCTTGTGCTGTTTTTCTCTCTGACTCACTTCCCTTAGGATCCAGCCTCTGGGTCCATCCGTGCTGCGGCCGCTGGCATCATTCTGTGCTGCTTCATGACTTAGCAGGATTCCGGTGGAGAGGCATACCTCTTGGGCTTCAGTTTCTGTTTTTAGACAATTGGTTTGATTCCGAAATCTTGGCTCTTGTAAATCATGCTGCCCTGAAAACAAAACAGGAGTGCGCCTGTCATCTCAAATTCTGATTTTCTCTGGATCTCAGTCCAAGAGTGGGAGAGTAGGATAGCCTGATCAGAAGTGTCGCCTAAAATTTATCGTCACAACCTGGAAGGAGAGATTATTTTATTTGGTGGGAATGTTTAGGACTCTGAGCCCAGGAGACAGCGTCTCAGTAGCTCTGAGAAAACTGCTGCAAGGAGGCGGGAGGGGAAGTCATGCTACATGCAAATTTGCAACAAAGGCAGCAGGCACTCTGACTATCAAAGATCAGGTATCAAATCAAGGCATTTGGCATTCTGTGTATGGGAAGATGCAAGCCTCTGGGCTCGCCTATTTCATATGCATCTCAGCTATCTGGGGTGAACCCTGTTTCCTTGCTCACCTTGCTTCTTGCATTCCCACGCCCCTCAGCAATCACCCTGAGGGGTGGCAGCGGCTGCAGGATCGCAGTTTGGGGAGCCCTCATTCACATTTGGAGGCCAGAAATTGCTGATGGCTGTGACATTTCCTCTTTATTAATGTGGCCAGAGGTATTTTCTTTTCACAGGAAGTTCTCCTATGCTTAGTTTTTTGCTGTTATTGTTTTGTTTTTAAAGAAATTCCTCTGCTGCTTTGCATTTTCCCTGTACCCCATCACATCCCAGTGAAGAGGGAAGGAGGATTCCCTCTTTCTCTAAGCCCTCTGTGGGACTTAGTTTCAGTAGATTTTTTGATACTGGTCTTTCTGAGAAGTACGAGGTGATTCCTCATGGTGGGTTTGATTGGCCTGGTTTTAGGAGGTAGTCATGTGGAGTGTGTTTCCAACTGCTTTTGGACTTTAGACAGTGTGAGTACAATGCACCTCTTGAAATTGGGCCCTGCTTTGAATTCTTTTTTGATGATTTTCCCAGAGACATTACTTGAAGGGCAGGTACCATTTACAGCGTCCCAGGCCTTTTGAATGAAATTAAGCTTCCCTGGTGGCTGAATCAGTAAAGAATCCGCCTGCTATGCAGGAGACCTGGGTTCTGTCCCTGGGTCGGGAAAATCCCCTGGAGAAGGAAATGGCAACCGCCTCCAGTACTCTTGCCTGGGAAATCCCATGGACGGAGGAGCCTGGCGGGCTACAGTCCATGGGGTTGCAATGGGTCTGACAGCACTGAGCCATGAAACCACAGGCCTTTTGAATAGTAAGACTCCTTGAGAACTGGTTTTAAAGTTGTTTTACTGGGTGTAGCCACAAGGTGGCCGCAGTTGTTAACGCTCAACTCTGGTTCCTCGGGCAAGCGGAGCCTCAGGGAGAAGCCTGCGCGTGGCTTGTCAGAGTGAAATACTTCGGCCCCCTGATGCGAAGAGCTGGCTCATTGGAAAGGACCCTGACGCTGGGAAAGATTGAAGGCGGGAGGAGAAGGGGACGACAGAGGATGAGATGGTGGATGGCATCACCGACTCGACGGAGATGAGTCTGAGTAAACTCTGGGAGTTGGTGACGGACAGGAGCCTGGCGTGCTGCAGTCCATGGGGTCGCAGAGAGACGGACACCGCTGAACGAACGAGCTGAGCTGAGCTGGGTCCGGAGAAGCACCAAACGCCCAGTGGTTTATGTTTCATTACTTCTTCCCCCTTACCCGTGACCCACAGGACACATCCTGAGTCCTCTTCCCTAAGTTGGGAATATCGCCTGGAGGAGGAAATGGCAACCACTCCAGTCTGCTTGCCTGGAAAACCCCACTGACAGAGCAGCCTGTCGGACTACAGTCCATGGGGTCACAAAGAGTCAAACATGAGCACGCAAGCACTACGGGGAACGCAAACCTGCTTCAGTAACACGTGTAACTCAGAGAATTCCTAATACCCAGCCTACTGTGTGTTAAATGCAGAGAAAATGCTCCTATTTCGCACTCAACTGGGGTGAGCTCACTGAAAGGTTTTGCTGCCCACACCAAGGGGCATTGCAGATGCTCACCTTGGTGTGTAAATAAATAAAGCTCAGATGAATCCATGGTAAATGTTACAGTGTAGAGGTATTAAGTTTTATTATTTACTTTGTGGTTCCAGTAACTATTTGCTCCAGGAAAAACATAAACAATTCTGAATAATGAACACTGGGTTTCTGATTAGCTATAACTTCTGAAACTCATGGTTCCTCTGATGGCTGCATGTGGCTTTGGAAGGGAGTAAACTGTGAGCACACAAAGAAGAACTTCGACCCACATCCTAGTCAACAGGCAAAGCTAGTGAGAAGTATTAAAAGAGAAGGAAAAAACAGAGCATTGCAGGTCCTGGAGATTGGCCAGCCCTTCTCCCATCCCCAGCATCATGTTAAAGGGCACAATTCAAGGGTGAAGTTAAGGGTTCCATCTCCCGTCTGTCTCCTTGGAAGCAGGAAATCAATCTCTCCTGTGAAAAGCACACTCCGGGAGCTGAGGCCTGAGGGTGGAGGGCTGCAGGCCCAAACATCAAAGTGATTAATCTAACCAAGTTAATGCAATGATTTTCAGCATTTGAGTTGGCTATTTCAAGTATGTCATCTGTCTCCTGCGTGATATAATGTTGATTGTTCTCTATTTGATCACAGTCAACTTCAACAGGTCTACCCGAATGCGGAGCATCCTCCAGCGAGAAATCTCCAGCATAAAACTTCACAAACCACTTTGGACACATTGAAACAGTGTGGGCTCCAGGGATGCCTGGAGCCCAAAAAACTGGAAGAGGCAGGAAGGACCCTCCCCTGGAGCCTCTGGATGGAGAGCATCCCTGGGACACCCTGACCTCAGATGTCTGGTCTCCAGGACTGAGAGAGGACAGGCTTCTGTTGTTCAAAGCGTCCGTATGGTCGTTTGTCACCGCTGCCCAGGAAGCTCATGCAGCTGGTAGGCAGTTCCCTACCCTGATCTAAAGCCTCCCTCCCATTAAGGGCAGCCCCCTGCACCTATGCCGTCTGCACCAACCATGAGGTTCATGCTGAGCGCTGGCTCTCCTGCTTGGCACTGGCATTTTGGAGGATGAGAGCAGACACCACCATGTGACCAGCCCCCGCCAGGTGCCAAGTCTCCAGTGCACTCCACGGGAGGACGGGTAAGGGCTCTGCCCTTGGTTGCTAGGGGAAGAGACACCCTAGACACCCGCGAGGGAGGAGGGGCAGAAAGGTGGTGAGTGACCGGCTCAGGGCCCCGCCCACCCAGGCAGCCCCACTGCGCCCTGAGGCACGTCTTGGCAGTGAGCACCCAGCCTGTGCTGAGGCCGGGAGCCTCCCAGCAAGACCCGAGGTGGCCCTGAGACCCCGGCCCTTCCTCCACGTCTAGTAGGTGGGCCACCCCTTCTTGCCACTCCAGGAGCGGTTCTGGAGCCGATCTGTGAGTGGTTCTGGGGTTTGCATGTGGAGCCCCTGTTCCTGTGACCCCCTCCCGACAGGAGCATGCAGAGCAAGCTGTCTGCCCTGCTGCCTGGGTACCCACCCACCCCCGTATTCTCAGGAGAGGATCAGGGGTTCTGAGCAGCATCTGAAACCTCCTTTAGTAGGGGTGTCCTTGTTCACAACTCTCCAACCCCCACCTTTAGCAGGAGTGAACAGAAGTCTTTAAGTTACAGGGTCCAGAGAGAAGAGAGGAAGCTAAGAACAAAACCAGATGGAACCAACTAGTGAAACGAGAATCCGGGTTCAGGCTGCGAAGTCAATGAATGGTCTTCCACAGACATGTAGAGACACATGGGGGCAGAGTTTCATTTCAGAGAATAGAAGTACAGTGCTCCCAGCAAAGACACTGGGAGGGGGAGAAAGAGTTCCCTAAAATGGTGGGAATCAAAACAGTTTATATCTTTACCAACATTGACCCACCTATTCATTTTCGGTTGGCTTAGGGTCCTGATGCATGTAATCCCTGGCCAGTCAGTTTAAGAATCATCCTGCCAGTCTGTCAGTTTTATGGCCCTTGTTTTGATCTTGCAGTTCTTGAATTTTCTTATGATATTGAGTCTCCATCCCCTGATCCTTTTTTGTGACCTCAGACCATTATCTCAGGACCAGACATTTGTTCTAAAGTTAATGGATCACCTGGTGTTTTTCTCCTTGATCAGTTTCTGATTGTTCTGTCATGGGTTTAGGTGTGTGATGGCCTTCACATCAAGGGGACATGGAGGCATTCTCTTTGAATGTCAAGAAACTGGAACAGCCAGTATGTTTATAGATTACCAGAGTGAAATGCTTATGTAAAACATAAGTGGAGATTGGAATTAGATTTTTATAAGAAGAAACTGAGGCTTTCTTTTTTCTTTTGACCCTACACTGACCCTGACCCCTACATTTGACCCTGACCACCTAGTATTTTTCTACCTCACTAGGACCAAGATGGCAGTGAGTCTGACCTCCAGCAGACCCCAAGTTTCATTGTGTGTTGATTTTTACTATGTTGTTGATGTAGGAGACAGATGCACTCCAGATTAGACATTTATAACTGGTCTCCTGTTTGCATTTCACAGGACATGAAAAAAGTGGGCTTCAGGCTGGATTATTACACTGTTAACATTTCTGAGAGAAGAGACAGGTGCGCTTCAGTCTAGGTATTTACAGGCAGCCTCCTGTTTGCCCTCTGAAATGGGAGTCACAACAGAGAGTAAAAAGCCAGTGTTGGCCTCCTGTGAACACCTTAAGGCAATTGTCACGGCAAGGACAAAGGGGGGGCAGAAGCCTGTGTGAGTAACGGATTAAGGGGTCTCTGCCCCCAGACTTTGGGACAAGGGAGACACTACACATGTGCAGAAAGGCTTCTTGTGGGTCAGAACTCAAGAGAGAATGCCAGGCCATATGAATCGTGCTCCTCCCAGAAGGTTTCACTTTGAGATCCATCTTGGCTGAGGGGTGAGTGTGCACCCAGGGGAGGGTCCCAGGGCAGGGCAGGTGTGGGAAGAGAAACCAGATAACTGGGCTGAAGGAAGACAAAGACCCGGAAGAACTGCCCTAAATGACTGTATAAATGACTTAAATGCCTCTTCGCTGCGCTCCCCCTCACTGGGCGGGAATTGCTCACACCCTTTCTCTGCCTTGCTTTTATCTTAACAAACCATTTCTCCATGTGCTCTCCCACCTGTTGTTATGCTGTGTCTCTAATAATAAATTTCATACCTGCATTTACAGTTTCTGCCTCCACGGTAAATGAATTTTTCACTGGGGGCAAATATCCAGGGAAAAATAGCTTCTAGCCTCTAGCCCTTGTTGGTCTGGTGGCTAGGATTCCTGGTTCTCATCCAGACTTCCCAGGTTCAATTCCTGGGCACGAAATTAAGATCTCACTTCACACCACCATTCACTGCTAACGTGAGCATTGTATTAAAAGTGATACCTCTGCCTGTGGCCATGACCCAACATGAAGAACCAAAATGTAAAAAGGAGGTTCAGTGGAGTTCAGTCGTTCAGTCACAACCAAACTCTTTGGAACCCCATGGACTGCAGCACACCAGCCCTCCCTGTCCATCACCAATTTCCAGTGTTTACTCAAACTCATGTCCATAGAGTCAGTGATGCCATCCAACCAGCTCATCCTCTGTTGTCCCCTTCTCCTCCCACCTTCAATCTTTCTCAGTATCAGGGTCTTTTCCAGTGAGGCAGTTCTTCACATCAGGTGGCCAAAGTATTGGAGTTTCAGCATCAGTTCTTCCAATGAATATTCAGGACTGATCTCCCTTAGAATGGACTGGTTGGATCTCCTCCCAGTCCAAGGGACTCTCAAGAGTCTTCTCCAACACCACAGTTCAAAAGCATCAGTTCTTCAGCGCTCAGCTTTCTTTATAGTCCAACTCTCACATCCATACATGACTACCGAAAAAACCATCGCTTTGACGAGATGGACCTTTGTTGGCAAAGTAATGTCTCTGCTTTTTAATATGCTGTCTAGGTTGGTTATAGCTTTTCTTCCAAGGAGCAAGCATCTTTTAATTTCATGGCTGCAGTCACCATCTGCAGAGATTTTGGAGCCCAAGAAAATAAAGCCTGTCCCTGTTTCCACTGTTTCCCCATCTATTTCCCATGAGGTGATGGGACTAGATGCCATGATCTTAGTTTTCTGAATGTTGAGCTTTAAGCCTACTTTTTCACTCTCCTCTTTCACTTTCCTCAAGAGGCTTTTTAGTTCTTCACTTTCTGCCATAAGGGTGGTGTCATCTGCATATTTGAGGTTATTGATATTTCTCCCAGCAATCTCGATTCCAGCTTGTGCTTCTTCCAGCCCAGCATTTCTCATGATGTTCTCTGCATATCAGTTAAATAAGCAGGGTGACAATATACAGCCTTGACGCACTCCTTTCCCGATTTGGAACCAGTCTGTTTTTCCGTGTCCGGTTCTCACTCTTGCTTCTTGACCTGAATACAGATCAAGGAGGTGGCACCCCACCACCTCAGAGAAACCCTGCCCTTCCCCTAAATGTACCTGCCTCTCCAGTATTAGCCTCAGTCCTCCTCCCTTTGTCTTTACTTTTAAAATGAAACCACTCTCTCCAGGTGGGTGAGAAGTTGAGCTGTGAACTTGGTTCCCACGTCTGCGTTCTTTGGCCTCTGAGCAAAGCCTGTGCTGTGTTGGTCTCAGCTTTGGTTTCACAATCACGTACTTGAACCTGAATGGAAGAAGGGAGCCTTCCCTGTTGAGGCAGAGAGCCCCAGCCAGGCTAGGGCCTGAGCACGTCCACAGGACTCACCTGGTGACAGTCTGTAGGGGGCGGTGGTCTCTGCCTGGGGGGGCGGGTGGAGGGCGCACCTCCAGCCGCAGCACCGCCGACCCCACCCCAGGCCTGGCCTGAGCTCTCGTCCCCACACCCCGACGGCGCCCGACGGCGCCCGACGGTCTGACTCGCTGCGGCAGGCTGCCAGGCGTGCGGTCAGGAGAGACCCAGAGCAGCACGTGGAGCCAGGTCGGCGGGGCCTCCTCACAGGCGCTGGGAGTCCTGGGTGTCAGGACTTCGCGTGTAGGAAACTGAGCCGCTAGAAGCTCATGTCTGCTGCGGGCTTGAAACCCACCTGCAGGGCCAGAGCTCCCACTGGACCCTGGTTCGGAAGCATCTGCACAGGTGAGGGCCGCGCCAGCGCTTCCTCACCAAGTCCTCCAGGCGTCCCTGGTGGGCACAGCGGGACCCACACCCCACGGGCTCCCCGACCCGAGCCTGAGGGGCCAATGCAGGCAGGGCCTGGGGACGGGGGTGGTCACTGCACCCACACTGCTCCGTGCCTCCTCCCCAGGGGCCAGGAGAGGCAAGGCCAGGGGCACAGGCCAAGCTCGGTGCGCTTCTCCACAGAACCCCCAGGCCCTGCCCGGCTCAGGCAGGCCCACCACTGCCCCTGCTGGTGCCCGAATCCCAAAGATGCGCGTTCCTGGTGTGGATGTCCGTGTACACAGGGTGCCCCGTGTCCCCTTCCACCCCTGCTTCTCCCTAATGACAGCCTGGACCGCACTTGTCCAGGTCTGTCCTGTCTGCCCCCTGGGGGCCAGACACAGGACTCAGCGGGGCGCTGGGCCGGGTGTGGGGTGAGCCAGCCACGGCCCTCTGGAGCTTGTTCCCTCTGAGACTCAGGAAACCAAGGACCCACCACCCCAGCCCGTCCTGGGCGCTGCTGCAAGTCTGCTCAGGTTTGATCTCTGCATCTCGGACTGAGACCTGCAGAAAACAGAGGCCGTGAGCCCCATCCTGATGGTGTTCCGTGGACTTTCCTCGAGACCCCTTTCTGCCCTGTTCTGAGCAAATGACTCATCAGTCCACGCTACCGTCACCCCACCAGCAGACTGTGGGGCCGAAGGCCCGAGAAGCCAAGTGACCCCCCCCCACAAAGGGACAGCCTGGGCCATGGAGGAGGTCCATACCCACCGCCCCCCGGGTGATGGCCTGCCCTCAGCAGGCCCCACATCAGCCCCTCCACAGAGCCTCCTCTCCTCTCGGGGGATTTGTTCACCTTTCACCAGGGCTCGTCCCACATCCCGTCTCTGAGGGCATCTGTAAGGCTGGTCACCCTGAAGCAGGGTCAGTCCTGCCGAGTCCTGCCCCCGGTCCATGTGGGAGGCCTCACACCAAGGCCACCGAAGTGGAGCCCGGAACCAATTGGCCCCTGAGGCTGACTCAGCCCTCTCACAGCACAGGATTGCAGGCAGATGGACTCCTGTCACTCTGCAGTGCCCTCGGGGGTGAACTGGTGACAGGCATGGTTCCCCCATTTTTCATAAAGAGGAAGGAAAGCCCAGAAAGTGTAAGGGGTGGACTTCCAGAAAGCTTTCCAAAAAATAAGATGCAAACCTTCCAAAGCCAGACTCCTCTCTTTAGGTGAAAATTCCTGTATCAAGTGCAAGTATTTCTTGTTGAGACTTGCTGAAAATTCTTTTTAAATTTGTTGGTGAAACAGTATTCAGGTCTCATGAGGGGAAAAACAATTTATAACTGTGACATTTGCAAATGTTTCAACCTCTGCACAGCTAATTATGTCTCCTAGGACTTTTGCTAGATTTCTCTTGACTCTTTGAATTTGTGATGAATTACTTAGAATATTTCTTCTGATTACATATAAAATTAAATCTGACTTTTAGTGGGTCCCCCCCCCTACTTCTTTTTCTAATTATCTGGACTACTCAGAAAGAATACTGATAATCTACTCTCATTTCACACAAACGTATTATATAGTTTTTATGCATACTTGTCAGACTTAGCAAATTCATCTTCCAACTCTAGAAAAGATGATCTTGTAGTCTATTTTATGTTCAAGTTATCTTTATAGAGATGTGTGTGCTCAGTCGTTCAGCTGTGTCTGACTCGTTGCAAGCCCATGGACTGCAGCCCAGCAGGCTCCTCTGACCATGGAATTTTCCAAACAAGAATACTGAGTGAGGTGCCTTTTCCTACTCCAGGGGATCTTTCCTACCCAGGGATCAAAGCCACATCTCGTGAGTCTCCTGCATTGACAGGCAAATTACCACTAGCGCCGCCTGGGAAACCCTCACTGTTAGTACACATGCATCTTATTCGTGATTTCTATTTACCCTGTCTCCCTGGGCTTTGTCTCTATCCTTCCCCCTCATATATATCTCTTAAAACAGGACTTATCGGAAATGTAGGGCAGGCTGCAAGATGTAATACAGTTTCCAAAGAATGATGACAAATACACAACATAGAAAAGATAAAGAGAAAAAATGGACATGACACTGACAATAGACGCCCCTTCAGTTACTTAAATCTGTAAGAAAGTCTTGCTACCCTTCATCTGGCCTCTCAATAGAAGTCAATTCAGCATGCAAGGCTTCTAGAAGCTTTTCCTCAAAGTAGTAACCTGGATTGAGGAAAAGGTAACCTGCTGCTCGTTATGCTCTCAATACAACAGAATTAGCCAGAGGGCCTGCGGGACTTCCCCGGTGGCACAGTGAGTAAGACCCACCTGCCCGCGCAGGGGACGTGCGTTCAGCCGCCGCTCTGGGCGGATTCCACAGGCCGCGCAGCAACTGGCCCGCGGGCACAGCTTCTGCAGCGCGCCCTTCTGCAGCCTGCGCTCTGCGACGCGAGAAGCCTGCGCTTGAGAAGCCGGGGCGCAGCCTCCAAGAGCGGCCACTGCTCACCTCACCTAGACAGCGCCCCCGAGCGGCGAGGAGGGCCCGGCGCGGGCAAAGAAGAACAGTTTTTTAAAAACTCAGCCTTGCAGAGAAGTTCGCATCATACACCACTGCCATGACGCATCTGCTCGAGGCTAAAGGACAAAAATCCCTCTTCCGCTCAGGAAGGTGGAGCTGGCCTGAAAATCAGCGATTAGGACCCTCAAATTCCTTCCTTCCCAGTGGACATCTGCTCCTTCATTTCTGCTGTGTGCATAGCCCACTTGCTAAAGAAACAGCTCAGCTACTCACCTGAGCCTCCAGCTCTCCCCTTGACAGAGTACTATCGCTTAAGTGAATAAATCCTCATTTTGCTTTCTTAACCTTCCTGTCTCGGAATACTTTCTGCACTGAGACGGGAACCTTCCATTGGGAACGTCTTTGGTGGATCCGGCCAGGAGATTTCGGTGAACCTGGCCTCCCTGTGCAAGAGAGGAGCTCACCGCCTGACTCCCTACTTCTTGAGGGGGATGTTACAGCAGGATTTGAGCAGAGGCGGGGACAAGGGTCACACGGCAGGAAGCCACACATCTACAAATAACGGGGGTCCTTGGGCAGACAAAGAAAAGCAGGAACCTCCAGACTGACAGGAAACCACACATTTGGGGGTTAAGTGTCCTAGAGGCAGACAAAGAAAAGTGGAGAAAGGCAGGAATCTCCAATGTCTGAAAGTAACTTTTTGCTCATTCTGCCCTCATTACAATAAAATCAGCCTTGCTGATAAGAAGTTCCCATCATGCAACACTGCTATGACACTTCCAATCAAGGCTAAATAAGGACAGAAATCTCTCTCGCCCTCAGAAGATGGAGCGAGCTGACAGGATTGTCAGGGAAGACAATCCCCAAACCTTTCCCTCCCCAGTGAATATTTCACACATTCATTTCTAACCCCCACATAACTGGCTTGCTCAAGAAACTCAGCCAGCTACTCACTCGAGACTTCCCCCTCTCCCCTCAGAGCACCCTATCGCTGAGAAGGCTGAGACACGTGGCGCCCCATGGCAAGCTTTTGAAGCTTTCAGCAATGTCACCATTATAACGAACAAGAAAGAGTAATTAAAAACAATGCAAATACCAAAGAACAATATGAAAGGCTAGCCATTTCCCCAGTCTGCGTTATAGTTCCTTATATCTCTGCTGGCATTTGGAGTGTGTGAGCCACGCTGAAAAATAGATGAAAAACCCATAGGTTGTCACACAATCACAACAGTCAGCAGAACGATGGAGAAGGGAGAAGCCCCACCAAGGAGCAAAGGGAGGGAGCAGAAGCAAAAGGAGTTCTTCCACTGATCAAAGGAGTCTTTGCTTTCTTCTTTCCCATGACACACAACTTCCCCCAAATCTGAAAATGATGCCGAAGACCACAATGTGCGTCTCAGCCTGCAGTCGTGTCTGTCACAAAGGACCCATCACCTGCGGGACCAGGGGCAGAGGCGGGAGGGGAGGAGCTGCCGGTTCTGTGCAGAAGGCGCAGCGGCTGACATGGATGCCTGCACAGCCACTCTGAGGGCAGCGACCCCAACCAGAGCTAGAGAGGACGTCTCCCCAGCGACGGGGAGAAAGAGTTAAGTCACAAATGCTTCTGTATACTGAATGTCATTTCAGTATACAACTCGAATTTTTATTCCCTCAGCTTCTCCACCACCATTTTTTCATAAGATATTACTAGTATATATATACATTTATATATATATATATATATATATATATATATATATATATATATATATATATATATATATACACACACACCACACACACGTAGGTATCAGAGGATGCAATGATTAGATAGCATCACCAACTCAACGGACATGAATCTGAGCAAACTCCAGGAGACAGTGAAGGACAGAAAAGCCTGGAATGCTGCAGTCCATGGAGTCTCAAAGAGTCAGACACAACCTAGCAACTGAACAACAACATAGGCAAAAGGTGAGTGACATTTAATATAAATAATGTGTTAGTTTTCTTACTGTTTTATAACTTTGTTTTCAAAGAATTACATTACCATACAGTATGCCTCTCTCTTGTAATTGGATAAACTGTATTATTAGCCTATCATAACAAGTAAGTGGTTTTTGTGGGTTTTTTTTTCAAATGTAATGATGTTTCAATACTATATTATGAATATGAGTGTAGAAATGTATGCCATAAGAATGTTATAATGAAAAAAAAAAGAATGTTATAATGACTCTTTCATTAGTATGAAGGTGAGGCTACCATGAAACAACTGATTTCACTAGGCTACCATAAAAAGATATGCAGATGACACCACCCTTATGACAGAAAGTAAAGAAGAACAAAATCCTCCTGATGAAAGTGAAAGAGGAGAGTGAAAAAGCTGGCTTAAAACTCAACATTAAAAAATGAAGATCATGGCGTCTGATCCCATCACTTCATGGCAAATAGATGGAGGAACAATGGAAACAGTGACAGACTTTATTTTCTTGGGCTCCAAAATCTCTGCAGATGGTGACTGCAGCCATGAAATTAAAAGATGCTTGCTCCTTGGAAGAAAATCTATGACCAACCTAGACAGCATATTAAAAAGCAGAGACATTACTTTGTCAACAAATGTCCATCTACTCAAGGCTATGGTTTTTCCAGTAGTCATGTATGGATGTGAGAGTTGGACCATAAAGAAAGCTGAGCACTGAAGAATTGATGCTTTTGAACTGTGGTGTTGCAGAAGACTCTTGAAAAGGCCCTTGGACAACAAGGAGATCAAACCAGTCCATCCTAAAGGAAATCAATCCTGAATATTCACTGGAAGGACTGATGCTGAGGCTGAAACTCCAATATTTTGGCCACCTGATTCGAAGAGCTGACTCAGTGGAAAAGAGCCTGATGCTGGGAAAGACTGAAGGTAGGAGGAGAAGGGGACGACAGAGGATGAGATGATTGGATGGCATCACCCATGTGACGGACATGAGTTTGAGCAAACTCCAGAAGTTGGTGATGGACAGGGAGGCCTGGCATGCTGCAGTCCATGGGGTTGCAGAGAGTCAGACGTGACTGAGCAACTGAACTGAACTGATGATTTTCTTTTTTTTTTTTTCGAACTGATGATTTTCTTACTAACATTTTCAGTCATCATCACAGGACACCCTAGTGCTTATTTGTCTTGTAACTGGAAGACTGTACTTTTTGACCACCTTTCTCCAATTGTGCTTCTTTGTGTATTGGTTTTACAATTAGGAAAATAAACTTATCATGGAAATAATTTTAATAAGATCATAGAACAAACCCCAACCCAAACCCACCCCTCATTCTCTGCCATGTTACCAGGGAAGCCCATGAGGGAGATATCTACAGAATTCAGATTCCTCCTCTAGCTATGACCATACACCTTGCAAGCCCCAGTCTCCTGCACCACAGCAAAGAAGATAAAAGAAAATCAATAGCCTGATGCAGCCTGTGGTCAGAGCTCATCACATCAGGGCTACTGTTGTTAGAGCCAGAATCCTCAGGAGTTTGCTCTCACAGACCTGGGTCCTGGCCATGACCACCGATGAGTCCCACCTGGCTGACGTCCGCCTTAGCCACTCAATTCAACAAACACTGAGAAGCTACTATCAGCAATGTTGCCCCTCCCACTGTGGGTCCAAAATCAAGAAGACTGGTGGCTGAGCCAAAAATCACAGTAAGGGGATCCCTCAAAGACCAGCCTGAGTATGTAGGGGGAAGGATGAGGAAGGTTTCCAGGAGAGGGATATCTGAGGTCAATCAAGGAGGTGGGAATGAGCCAGCAGGATGAGGGGTGGGGCGGGGTGGGGGGTGCAGGCATGATGGAGAAGACAGCTTCTGCAGAGACAGACACAGTGCTGCTCAGACATTACTGTGAGCATAAATCTCTGAAAGAGCTGGTTAAAATGCAGGATGTGATTCCAGAGGGCAAGGTGGCTGCTGAGATCTGCCTGTCCAACAGGGTCTCAGGTGATGCCAATGCTGCTGCTGGAAGGACCATGTTTGCTGGATGAAAACTGCACTTAAAGCAGCCAGGGGCTTCAGCAGTCTGTTTCCAAATTTTGCTGCACATTGATCACGTGGAGATTTAAAAAGTCCTGAAGTCTGAAGGGACCAGACAACCTACAGAATGGGAAAAAAGATGTGCAAACTCTATTGTTCATATGGTATGTATCAGATACATATCTGATAAGGGGTTGATATCCAAAATACATAAAGACATACCGCTCAATAATAAAAAAGCAAATAACCCAATTAAAAATGGGCAAAGGACCTAAATAAACAATCTTCCAAAGAATGTATATAAAAGGCCAATAGGTACATAAAGAGATGTCCCACATCAGCAGTCATTTGGGTGAGGCGAAGGTGAAAGTCCCTCAGCGTGTCCCACTCTTCGTGGACTGTGTGGTCCACGGGATTCCCCAGGCCAGAACACGGAGTGGGCAGCCTTTTCCTCCTCCAGTCATTTGGCAGATGCAAATTAAAACCACAGTGAGATATTACCTCACTTCTATTAGAACAGCCATCATCAATAAGAGAAGAAATAACAAATGCTAGTATAGATGTGGAGAAAATGGAACCCTTGGCAATGTTGGTGGGAATGTAAATTGGTACAGCAACTATGGAAAACAGTGTGGAGGAACCCACAAGTTTCCTCAAAAAATTAAAGTAGAACTACAGGGACTTCCCTGGTGGTCCAGTGGCTAAGACTCTGAGCTCCCAGCGCAGGGGGCCCAGGTTCGATGCCTGCTCAGGGAGCTAGATCCCACATGCTACAACTAAGACCCAGGGCAGCCAAATAAACAAATAAAATTTTTTAAAAAGTTAAAAAAAAGTAGAACTACAACAGATCTTGTAATTCCGTTTCTGGGAACATATCCAGAGAAAATGAAGACACTAACTCAAAAAGTTATCTGCACCTCCATGTTCATAGCAAGGCAGCATTATTTAAAAC